CAAAATCGATTTTTCGACCGTGGCCACATTTCTAGAATTTTCTTTGATTTTTACTGACATTTACTCTTAAGACTACTCCCGGCCTTTCGTCTCGGAAAGGTTACCGAAATCAATTCACCGTGAAGGGCTGGGAGAAGACCGTCCAGCGGGAACTAGGCAACCCGTCTCCCACATTGACTCTTACCCGTACTGCTATTTCGTTAATTCGTCATTTATTGTTTTAAACATGCACGTTCGCTTGAACCAAAACGTTATGCGTGTTGTTATGTGTGGTTGCCTTAACAACTGGCCGGGCAGGTCATGGGTTCGAATCCTATCGGGGACTAAGATTTTTGTGTCACTCACCTTCATTACATGCTGGAAATGTGATGTATCCACAATTAGGCGGTATGTTACCCATTTATACTTCTGGGCGCTGTGATGCAGGCACTGTTGGAGTAATGGCATTACCCTAAAGCGCAACACATCGACAACGGCTAGGTCGCTATGTCTAGAATCCAGGCCTCTCGCGCTGAAGTCCGGCGAACTTTAACCATTATCAGAAAGATTCAAATTTATCACATAGATAATGTCACGCTCTCCCTTCAATTCAACAACCTTATTCAAAAGACTTCAAAATTTTATTGATAATACAGAGCTGGCCACAAAAACGTCAAGTCATGTGACCAAATAACTGACTCACCAAAACTCTCCGAATAACTTTATGAAAATTTAAAAAGACTGACCTCTACTCTCAAAAAAAAAAGATCTAAATATCCGAAAAATTTTTCTAAATATCTCGAAAAATCCTCTAAATTGTTGCTTTAGCGCTTTTCGTGATATGGAATATATTTTTCGATTGGAAAATGGTTGAACTGGATTGTTTCTTGTATAGAACTGAGAATTATTTCAAGAAAATAGCGAGGAAAACACAGCTCTAAGCCAAAAAGCTATTAATACATTTTTAAGTAGCCTTAAATTTTCTAAATATCTCGGAAACTTCTAAATATCCCCCAAAATATCCGGATATTTGTGGAAAGGCCTATTCATGCACTAGAATGACCGTTGACAAACCCAACAAATGTCGTCATTATTTTCTCACAAATTCACGAAAACGAGGTTTTTTTCTCTCAGTATTCAAATTTGCCTATGGAAACTGATATCGTTAAAAATTAAAGGATTTCGAGGAATTCTCGGTTTCTGACTCGGCGAAAGTTTTGTCGGATCACCTGGCATGTATTCTAACAAAAGATGTTCGATGTATTCCCGAATTGAGAAGTCTTAAGTTATTTACCAAGTAGCTTGTGGCAAATAGGCAGCGATGATAAATGTCCATCAAAACTTATTGTTTCTAAAATCTGTCTGCCTTGAAGGTCGACTGTGTGATTGAAAACTGTTGTAATTCTTAACACAATGAAAATTGCATGAAGTACGAAGTTCTTGCCTGAACGGAAAACATCCGGTCACTGAACGTGCAAGTGATTGACAGAAGCTTCCCGTTCAGGCTTCTTACTCAATGAGGGGGCTGAGTCCGCCGATCCGTGCCATTTTTTCACCAAATCCGTCGATCCGCCAATATTTTCCTTTAAATCCGAAACCACATTGTTTAAAAAAAAAAAAACAAATCATCAAAACTGCTTTGGGACATTTTCGGAAGTTTTTGACACACCTTCAGACAATCCAGAGCTGTCTCAGACAGGTTCGGAGCCCGTTCGGAGGCCCTCTTCGTATTTAGATAATCATCGGGCATTAGCCTAATTCCTAATCTTAAAAAAATGAATAATCTGACACATTTGCCACTTAGTTTTTTTTTTGTAAAAGTTCTTCGGTAAACTGGTAGATGTGCATAACATTGTCCAAATCGCGAAATCTATAATGAAGTCAAACATGCTCCATAAGGATGACACTGTTCCAATGACAATGCAAAACTCGAGTTTACCTAATCGAGGTCCAATCCGAAAAAAGAAATAGTGTGCATAAAATACGAAGATAATTACAAACTAATTCAAAGTACAACATTTTGAGTAGGAATCAATTACCAAATTAAGAATTAATTAAATTAATTAATAACTTAAGTAAGGAAGGAAAATAAAAAAAAAAATTAAGTCTTTCCACTTTTTGCTGACATCTTCGGAGGTTTTATTTTTAACTGCTATTTGTTGTGAAGTATTCAATTTGTTCTTAAGTAAAGAAGGA